AGACTAGGCTGAGAGAAAAGTTTATGCAAATCCCTCCGTTAAACCATATACATTTAAAATGCCCCTCCTGTTGTAAAAGGCTGTAAGTCAGACCGAGTATTCCTACTCCAGTATCCTGAGAAACAGTAAAACAACAGCTGAATACGGCGTACAGAATAAATCGTTATGGTATCATCAATATGCCACTCACGAAAATTTGTCTACTATGACTTCACAAAAGGAGAAAAAAATAGTACTCCTTTTCTTTTACAGAATAAATTGACTCAAGATTCTGAACAGATATAAGCTACTGCACTGTTGAATATAAACAGTATGCTTACTTGTCCAGCATGACAATTTAGATTAAGGATTGTTGTTCACATTTTTTTCTGATATTTAAACCTGATAAAACATATAAATAAAAAGTCAATGCAATCAGATTCATTTTCTTTGACAGAATAACCACCACCACTGTCCTTTTTCTCATTCCTACCATACAAAACACTGGACTGAAACAATTACAAAATCTTAAGATAGAACCCTATAACCCTTGTGTACAACTCTTTATGCAATATTTGTGTTGGATTTCAAGTACTATCCTTTAAATGGAGCCATTTATTTCCTGATCTTTCAACAGACTATGCAATTTGAATGCTAATTTAGATAAATGTAATACTGTTGAGAGACCATCAGTTTTAAGAAAAAGAGGAAGATAACGATCTCTCACCTACAGAACACATGGATTAATCAGAATGCTTAGGGGTAGCATATCCTGGCTAACCTAAGGGCTATGCTTATATCAGGTTAATTGGATTCACTTTGCAAGTACATTATCCCAAAACTGATTCTGGAATGGATCACTATTCTGAAGATCATTATTCTGAATTGTACTTGATGCACAAATTCTGGAAATACAGGAGATTCACACTGAAGTTCCTGGATAATGGCCCCAGTGTATTCTTTGGAATTAATTATTTGCTTAATTTTCCTAAAAGAGGAATTTTCCTAAGAGGCTGGTTAGCTGGGCTCCAATAAACGAGTGCCTTATTCTAACAGGACAGCAGTAGGTAATTTCTCTCAACATTAAATTCTTAGAACTCTATCTGCATTCTCCCTTCATGTACATGGACAAAATTATTTTTAGGAACCAGACAGCTCTTTACCAAAACCTCCTAAACGGTCCCGGTCTTCCTACAAATAAATAGCTTAATGATTTGCAGGGAGAGTGTGGGGGTAAAGGAGAAGTGTTTAGAAAGACAGGTTTTTTAGTTTGCAAGTAAATTTTGAGATTTAATGCGATGGCCGTCAATCTAAAATTCATTCAAATTTATTCTTCACAGACCATATTAAAGACAAGGGCTAGCTCAAATATAAATGAGGTATAAAAGAAACATAAAAAGGCTGCAATCTAAAGCACTTTAAATATTAAATATAAAGGGATATTATATATAAAATATGAACAGATGAGTTTTAAAGTCAAAAATTCTGCACTTTGACCCCAAAATACAAATGTTCTCCACATCATGAGCTTCTATGTTTAATATATTTAATAATAAGTATGACTATCATTTAATATACTCTATGTGTCACAGTGGGTGCTGGGACCATTATGTAAACATAATCACATTTAATCCTGACAACACTTCAGCAAAGGAATTATTGTCTCTATTTAACAGAAAGAGAAAATGATGTTCAAACTGTAATTACAAGTAAAAACAATCAGAGTAGGGATTCATCAACATCTGATTTCAAAATCTGTGAATTTTCTACACTCTGCTCTTCTACAAACTAGAGTCAATCCTCACTATTTGTGGGTCCTACATACGCAAATGTGCACGCTCACTAAAATTTATTTGCAGTCTCCAAACCATTACTCTTAGTGCTTTCATGGTCACTCGTGGACGGGAGTAAAGCAGTGAAAAACCTGAGTCACTCGAGGCACACATACATTCTCCATTGGGGTTAAATAAGGTAACACTCGCTTTCTTGTCTCAGCTCTAGTATTGTAAACAAGTGTCCTTGTTGTGGTTTATTTAGTGCCACATTTTCCACCTTTTTGTGCTTACTGTTGTCTGTCTTAAATGTTCCCCCAGCATAACTGCAGTGCAGTGCTTGAGTGTTCCCAAGCATAAGAAGGCTGCGATGTGCATTATGGAGAAAATACATGCATTAGATAAGCTTTGTTCAGGCATGAGTTACAAGGCTGTTGGTCATGAGTTCAATGTTAATGGATCAACAATATACATTAAATAAAGTGATTTGAAATATAAATATACATAAAACTAGGTTATGTGCTGATCGATTGATGAAAATGCTGTGACCAGAGGCTCACAGGAACCTAACCCTGCATTTCCCTTAGGAGCAATGGTTCAGTATTTGTTAATTCACTGCTCCCACCCACTTTATAGAACATAACCATGGCAATTAATGAAAAACCTGATTGAAAAAATTTCCACCCAAATGTTTACATTAATATTTCAGTAGAAGATTCTCCTTCTGTCATTGCCTTCAGAGATCATTCTTACACTTGTATAGTCATCACCTACCTGCTTCAGAAAAAGAAACACTTTGCTGCCTTTCTGTTTAATAGGTTGCAGCTAACACGTGTCTGACTCTGCTCAGAAAACCGATCTCTCTTAAAAGCAACCTGGCTTTCTGATGTGAAAGTCTTATGGAAATAAAATGCACTTCTTATTACTGGAGATCATAGTTACTGTTCAAAGATGATAGTTCTGTGAGATCATGATTTTTAAGACTAGACTTACATGCAATATGGACAGGTTGAGCAAAACAACAGAAAGCTTAGCACAGGAATTTAAAGATAGCAGCACAAACTGGAACTCTTACCTTTCTTGCCCAAGTCAGATATTTTATTGAAAAAAAAAAAAAAAAGATTACAGTACTTAAAAATCCAAACAAGGACAATTCAGGACTGAAAGAAAGGAAACCTGAAGGAACCCATTGTCTTCACTAAAACTGTAAATACAAAAAAGGTGGACCAGGAAAACAGTTTATGGCCTAATGCACTAGTTCCATGATAAACACACATATATAGTATATCTCGATCAAGTGAAACTTAATCACCTTTTTTACAATTTAGAGAGGGAAGGCAGCTTTTACTATGGTTAAGCCATGTATCATCAAGACCATGAAGCTAGCCTATCAGTTGTAATAGCTTCTATAAAATACCACAGTGAGATTGCGATAAGCCTAGAAAATGGGCTACAAATCCCAGCAATGCTCAAGCAAGCAGTGAACCAAAAATAAAAATAGGTAAAACTGAACCAAGAACTAGATAGCATTCATCTAGATTCATGATTGGTAAGGCAAAGTTCATAGGCCAAGGTTTTAAAGTGACTTATTCAGATCTAAAAGACAGTCATTATACAAAATAAAAGCATTTATGTAATCCAGGAAAAAAAAAATCATGACTTTTCACTTCAAAGGACATAGCACAAAAAAGCTTACTTACAATTACCAAGTACTACATTATTGTACCTCTAAAACATCACTTTAAATATGCAAAGGTAAAGAGACTCAAAGTTGCACTTTATCACTTTTAATCTCTCCAGTTTAGACAAGCAATCTAAAAGATGTCACACGTTCCTGCTTAATACATTTGCTGAAATCTTTCAGACCGTAACAACTTTAGGTAAAGAAAACGTCAACTTTAAGTTTCTTTTCCAATCATCATATTTAAATTAGCCATAAAATGCTGAATTAACAATCCATACAATAATATAAAAATACACATATTTAATAATCACAATTTTCATTGACTATTGGACTTAATAAAAATAGGAATCATTTAAATATAACCATTTTGAAGAACTCAAATGGTCTGAATGTAATCTAGTGTCTAAATTATACCATCAATAGGAATTTACATTTTCCCTTCTGTTTGGTGAAAATGAGCTCATGCAAGTATTTTTGACACTCACAGTGACACACAGATCTGTCATTCTAAGGATGTGCAAGAAGCTCTCACTTTTAAACAAGACAATATGATTCAGAGTCATACAGTATTTGTTGAAATACCAGCTTTCACATGATTTCAATATGCTATAAGCCAAAATGATCATTTTGATTGGTTTCAGGTATCAGACAAAGAAGATAATTTAAAAGGTAAGAGTAAATGATTCCACTAGCACAGACTAGTTATCACTGTGACTAGCTTAAAATTAGGATGATGTTTTTTCCAAGTACAATAAAAACTATACTACAAAATACAATAGGTTTGCAATACAGAGCAGGTTATCCAAGTAGAAAGCAAACTTGAACAAAATACAAACTCTGGCAGATTAACAACCTTACCTACTACTCATCGTAGCCCTTGTTAAAATACCCTGAGTAAAATGCAAATATTTAAATAATGCTGGCTATGTAAGATTTCTCTAAAAATGAACCATAAATGTCAATGCATCATGTTTTTTATTTACAACAGTCAGATATGTAAAAGTGAGCTCTTTAACCAGTCACAATATAAACATTTAGGAATATTTATGTGAGATCTGGAAGCTTTTAATTTTCTAGCTTTTGTTAGCATTTTGGCAAAGCAAGTGATACATAAATGGTTTCAATGTAAAAAAAAAATCATAAAAGAGAAAAATATAAAAATTTACAGTAGTTTCTACCCACCCTGGGCCAACCTAGGTCCCTAGAAAGCCTCCCCAACCAGGTTCACTTCTGACTAAAGGAAGAATGCCAGTCCTCCAGCAAAAACAGCCCCATCTTTTCATCAAAGAGGCTCTCACTGCAGTGATATTCCTCCGGGGGAAGAGGACAGGAGCCAGGTTCCCTCGAATGTCATTCCCCAGATGTTCAAAACGTAACTAATTTATTAGCATTAGAAGATTTGGTTTATAGGGGAATCTCACTGGTCCAGTTTGTAGCCTACAAAAAAATGGATTATTTTTGAGTATAACATTAGAATATAAATAAAGGATGAGGATGTGGCTTTTTATTCCATAGAAATGGATATATTTCCAAACATGACAATTAAACAAAAAAAGCATGCCTACCATTGAAGCTGGGGTCCCTCCAGATTTTTTAATATTCTTGGAAGGTATTCCATGAAGGCGACTGAGTCTAGCTTGGAAACCTGGAAAATCAAAGGCCTCAATTTAAGGAGAGTCAATGATCACTGGAGCATAGAATAAGATCCTAGCACATCAGAATTTACTGTATAGCACAGGGAACTATATTCAATATCTTGTAGTAACCTATAATGAAAAAGAATATGAAAAGGAATCTATGTATGACACATATGACTGAAACATTATGCTGTACACCAGAAATTGGCACAACATTGTAAACTGACTACACTTCAATGAAAAAAAAAAAGTCAGTTGGAGGGGGCACATCTTGAACAGTAGTGGAGAAAAGGCAAAACTCACTCTTAAAAGAGCTGAAACAATGCCTACGAGGGTTAATGGAGCCGGCACACAACTGTCAATTATTTAAACACTGAGGTATTAATCAGGGCTTTTCTTTCCTCCCAATTTATTTTTCTGTCATTTCAACATTTTCACCACGGGCCTAGCAAGAAAGCAAGACAACCTTTCTAATAATTTGAAAGCATGGAAAGTGTGGTAGCTGAAATACTGGTCAACATGTTTTTACAGCATCTTGTGTCAAGAGTCTTTCATTCCCATGCAGGGCATCCTTTTTCAATGGCTATTCCTAGACTGACCACAAGTGCCAGCCAGCTAGGCAGTGCTACTGACCTCTTCTTCCCGGATGTGACATGAGGGGGAAAGAACCAGTTAAGATACTTTCAAAGACAGGATCTGCTAGATTTGTGTCTAGCTCGGTAGGATCTTCCTTCTCCCACCAGGGAATGACTCCAGTGATGCCACACGCTCCCCCGGATTCCTTCTCGTAAAACCAGTCACTCTGCTCATCGTCACCTGTGCAAATACAAGAAATCCCCCAAAGATTCAGTTTCATCATCCAAATAAACACAGTTGTCAGATTCAGATTTAAAAAACACAAGACAGCAATTAAATCTGAATTTCGGACAAATGACTCATTTTTAATATAAATATATAGTACTTATACAAAATTCAGTATATGTCCAGATACTAAGTGGGACATACTTATACTAAAAATAATTTACTTATCTAAAATTCAAATTTAACTGAAGATCCTGTATTTTATCTGGTAATCATCTATATCATCTCCAAAGAAAACTTTTTATTCTACGCCACAGTTTCACTTAAGACGTGTTTTTTTTTAACACTATAACAAGAACTGCCATCAACAAAAACATAAAATGTTATGTTTCAGAACCAATTTAAAAACGTGAAAAACAATAATAAACTGGTTAATCCTTTGGTGAAACCCGTAGGGAAATCCATTTAAGTTACTACCCTTTCCACATTAAGGAAAAATAAGCCTTAATCTCCTGCCAGGAATTAAAAGGTATAAAATTGTAGAAATCATTCTTTGCAGCCAATAATGGTATATAATCAGCTTAATTTCATGATTTGTATGGAGTGTAAAAGGGGAAACAATGGTGAACAGATGTGACTAAATGAAATTAATCTGATTAAGTTCATTAAGAAATAGTTGTGAAAAAGTTGATTTTAAATGAAAAGTGACATCAGAGTTTACAGAGAGACTATGTTGGACTACTACAAGCAAGGAATTTTTAAAAAGGAATACTATTCATAGTAAGTTTGACTTTGGGAACACCCATGAGTGCAACGGAGTAACAATCAGTTTAAAATTCAGTTTGAAATACGCTCTTGGTGTGAATCAACAGTATTTTGTATTTTTTTAAAAAAAGGAATAATAAAGACATGTATAAGAGACAAAAATACCAGAGAAATCAGACTGTTTGAAAAATAAAAGACAAATCATATTTTAAATATGATCTGAGATTTACTAAAATCTTCATGATTCTTAGAAAAACTACTAATTCTGGTTTCCAAGAGGATCATCACAACTGCCATAACTTTTTCCCTTTACAGAAGGTTTTTGATTTCCAAAATCTCTTATTACAAATGTTTTAAAATGCAAACTGAAAGAAATCTTTGAAATTCAATTGAAAATGATTTTATGGGAAACAGCTGTATTTCAAATTATGAGGGCATGAAAAATTTAAAGCATTTGGAAAACCAAAGTTAGCAGTTTATTTCAATTGAGGAATTAATAAAAATTATTATTTTTTTAAAAAAATAAGCACAATTCAAAGCACATATATATTAGCACTTTTATTGAGAGTTATATTAAAATTCACACATCAGGTATAAGCGTAAGAAAAGGCAGGGAGTCACCTGAAACAGTCTATTCAAGATCTCAACTCCAACTGAGACAATACTATCACAGAAAAATGTTTTGATGTGATATACAACTTTATTTTTAATAGGGAAATCAAATAGCTAAAGATTAAGACTGGGCTCTGAAGTCAGACCCAATTAGAATTCTAGTGTTTTGTAACACTGGGGAAGTTACTTCAAATTTTTTAGCCCAGGTTTCATCATCTGACCAAAAAAAAAAAAAAAAAAAAAAGTGAGGGAGGGGGGATCTCCCAGAGTTGTTTTAAGAATAATATAAGCTGGGGGCAGGATATAGTTCAGTGGTAGAGTGCATGCTCAGCATGCATGGGGCCCTGGGTTCAATCCCCAGTGCCTCCATCAAATAAATAACCCAATTACATTTTCCCCAAAAAAAATCTTCAGAAAAAAAGAGAATAATATAAGAACTAAAAGTAAATTAAATGTAAAAAAAAACCACTTAGGAATGTGAAACATAAAAGGCTCACAATAAATGCTAACAGGTGATCCTAAGCCATTCAGTCTTTCTCAAAGGCTTACCGAGAGGTTATTTTTAAAAGAAGTTTTTTCACTTCATTTTATTACCAAATTCAGCATTTACAACATAACTTGAGACAGACATAGGTATTTTAAGAATTTAAGTATATTATCAAGGTAGGCATGCTTACTTACTCTTAGCCCCAAGGTGCTAATATATTTCAGCAAAATCTCTTGACTTTAAGAAGTCTATGGTCTTTAAAAGAGTCATGGACCTATTTATCTGGGGCAAATGGCTTATGGGTAAACAAAAAGGAAGGATAACTTAATTTACTTTAATCATATTGCCTACAGGAAGAATAGACTAAGGAAAAAACTGTGGGGCAGCTACCATCTTGTTCTTTTTTCATAACATCATTAAACTATTTATAATTAAAAAAAAATCTGGATTTTTTTTCCCTTAGAAATTACTGCTTTCCTCTAAAGAGCTCAAGAAAGAAAGAAAACATTTGTGATAAGTATTTGTATGTTGCCTCCTACACCCTTATTAAGGTTTTCATAATTTATATTGGAACAGGTAGTTTCAAAAGAATGCCATGTTAAAGTGTGAAAAGCTTCAGGAAAGTTCAAAGACAGAAATGATGTAAGTTGTAAGTCGTCACTGTTTAATAGTATACAATTCTGAATTCATGAAAATGGTCTAATGACTTACAAACTGGATAGGATGAATAAATGTCACAGCTGAATAAAAATGACAAATGACTTGCAAATCCACCTTTATTAATGCTTAAACAGAATTAAATACATTAGGAATCAGGTGGAGAATAAGAACCAGGGTCTTGTGAACTTGCGAAAAGAGACAAAAATGGAAAAGACGGAGGTATGTAAAGCTTTCTCAAGGAAGATAATCCTTCCTTAACATTATTAGCTTCACAGACTAGCTTTTGGAGATAATCAATTACATTAGGTTAGAAGACAGGAACTAAACCCCAGTCCACCAAGTGGTGTGTGTAAGGCAAATGGATTGCAGTCATCAACTTAGGAAATAACTAACATTGAGCACAACTTCAAAATGAAGGCGTTTTTCCCAAAGAAATTTAAAAAACAGCATTTCAGTACCTTGTCTTCCCTCATCATTGGTAAACAAACCAGCATCAGTGCTGCTGAGACTGCTGGAATCACTGTAATAAGGGAAAAGAGAAAACCAGATCAAAAGAACAATTGATCTCTCAGTCGTAAAATTTTAAAGAGACATGGCAGCTCAGAGATGGAACTTAAGCCTGACAAAGATCTGAAAGAAAATAAGATGATTTTTTTTAATCAAACTGCAAATATCCTGGTTCCATTAACTACAGAGCATATTATTTTTGGCACATAAAACCCACAGGAATCTAATGGGACTCTGACAGCAAGCCAGATGTGACTGCAACGAGGTGCTGACACAATTGATGCATTTTATTATCTGCCTTCATCAAATGCTTTCTGCTCCTTTCTTATTCCATGCAATTCAGCTTGAGCCCTGAACACCACTGCTCAATAAAATAGGGAAAGTCTCAATCAAAAGCAGGCTCAGCCTTTCTTCAGCACATGGAATAAGAAGGGCCGGGGATGGCATCAATTTCATAACCACAAATATTCGGGAAAAGACATTACTTAAGAATACACATTCATAACAACTCTATCACTTGGCAAGGAAGAAAAACATTTACAATGGTAACAATCCATTAATTCAAAGTTAAGGTCCCTCTGAGCAAAAAATGAATATTGCCAATATTAAGGAGGAGGTATACCAAAAAAAAAAACCACACAAAAAAACAAACAGGTTCTCATGACTTCCACAGAAGTTCAAGAGTGTGATGTAGAGTTAAATTTAATACAGAAATGAAAACAGAATGGTAAATATTCGACTGACATGACTAAACTGTCACCATTAGTTTGATGAGAAGCAATGCTTCTATGAGAATCTAATTAGTTAAAAAAAACAAAACAAAACAGGAGAACAAGGCCAGATAATAAGAGGTTTGGTCTCTAAACTATATTGAGTGATGTTCTTAACAACTCCCATATACTGTCTTTTTACTGTAATTCTTAATTCTAACCAATCAGGAAATTGCCCCAGGTTATTTTTAAATTATAATACTTTTCCATTAACAGGGAGAACTCTGTAATCTTATTAAAATAAAAAAGCATCCTAATCTGTTTTAAAATATTTCAATTGAAAGTTTAGGATTCAAGCTATAGATGAAATTCTAAATCCACATACCTTTCCTGAGTTTAAAATATCACTTCAGTTTTTGGTTGATTTTTTAAAAATAAACATAAACAAAAATAATTTAAGTGGCACATTTTCCCAATGAATTCTGAATTAGTACCTTTTTCTTTAACTTTCTTCAAACGAAATGAATATATAAAAGTCCCTGTACTGCACAAGTGTTAATAAAAGAAAACAGTACTTTCTAAGAGCACCACATCCATATGTATTTTGTTTACAAACACATATGCCCTTCCATGCACAGTGATGTCAGAGTTTTAAAAAAACACTGCAGAAACTTTCTCTGTCTGCTATTTAGCTGTCCAAACCACTATGGATTTTTATTTTTATCCTGTGACTGAGGAGTGATTTCCTGACTGTGCCCATCAACACAATTCTGATAAAGGGCCTTATACATACCTTGGGTTACATTCTTTTTCTGAAAACCTCAAGGCAAAATTATTTAAAATTCATACTTTGTCACATTTTAGAAAGGTACATTCTAAAATGCCTAAGAGGGATCCAGAGTAGCACTTCAAAATCAAACATTTTAATATTTTTTTCAATTAAATGAATGACCCTCCACATTCAATACAGGTCAGTTTAGGTCTGGCCACAAATTAATTAGTTTTTCACAGCTTTCAGAAAACAGATTTGCAGATAAAGGATTGTGAATCTATGTGCCTTTTTTTTTTGGTATGATGATCTTCAAATCTGAGTTCAGCTTTGCCTCCTCTAGTCTATTTTACATACAGTCAGGTTCATCTTTTCAAAACATAACTTGCTGACTAAAAAATGATATCCTGGAT